ATTCCTGGATGTTTTAGTGACGACATGCTGCTGGAGAACTGGAGATAACGATTTTTCGGAAATAAAGGCTCCGGCACATTGCAACACCCCGCAGCGGAGGAAAGCGAAGGAAGATCATCCGTTCAAAATCCTTATACGGAATGGGCATCCCAAGAGTTTCATTTTACGTTGTTTAACATCGGCAAAACGCTAGAAGTTTTGTAGAGCAGTATATTGTTCTTTTTGGAATTGCGTCTAGCTAGAAGATTATAACAGGTTCACAACGCATCTGGTGTAATGCTGAATGTGTTTGGAGAAATCACCTGTAAAGTCGCATTCAACGGGGTAGAAAAGACTAGAACATGCTACCTGAGGGACCGACTGAATCTAAACCTTGGACTCGACTGGACTATTTGATGTCCCATTAAATCAGATCTGTCATCGAGTCCGAGCAAATATATAACCTTCAAGAAAATCATTCGAGGATATGACACGCTAGCTGAAGTGAAGATTTGCTTCGGCATTTCTAGATAGTCTCCGTCACTGCACAAAATTCAAGTCAACGCTGTTCCTACGCCCAGGAGCCAAACCAGCCTTCAAGGCCAAGAGACCGGTGCCGTATGCAGCTATGCCAACAGTTGATCAAGAACTCGAGTGAGGTGGCGTCTTCACACCTATGAACAGCTCCTCATGTGTTGCCCTCATTGTCGCAGTGAAGAAAACGAATGGCAGGGTACGCTTCTTTGCTGATTTCTCAACGGGTTTGAACACAATACCCACTGCCAATACCGGAAGTCATCTTTGCAAAATTGAATGATGGCAAGTGCTTTGTCAAGCTTGACCTGCCCGACCCCTACCTTCAGGTAGATGTCGTCTAATACTCGAGAGAGCTGCTGACGATCAACACTCACAGTGCGCTGTTCCAATACAACCTCTTGTCTTTTGGTGTGAAAACAGCACCATCCATTTCCCAACAATTAAAGCATACCATGCTTGCGGGGGTTGCTTGAGCCACTGCATATCTGGACGACATCATCATAATGGGCCGAACTGTAGAAAATCTATGTAATCGTTTGGACGAAGTGCTTGGTCGCATCCATTGGATTCCGGGTCCGGGAGAATAAATGTATTTTTTCACGCCGACCATCAAGTACCTTGGTTTCATCCTCGAAAAGGACGGCTATCTACCAGATCCAGCGAACATAGATGCCATAAAGAAAATGCTTCCGCCAATAGACCTACAATCCTTGCATTCCTTTTGTGGTTTCATTAGTCACTACAGCGCATTTTTGCCTGAGATGGATTGCGTGCGTGATCCGCTGAACAAACTGCTGACAAAGACCACTCCTGGAACTAGACTCAAGGGTGCCAGAGTGCATTCGAACGAGTCATTATTAGCCTCATACCTGTTGCTGACTCATTACGACCCAACTCAAGAAATCATTCGCGCAATAGACGCTTCAAGCCATGGGATCTATGCAGTAATATCACATACCCAAATGGCTTTCAGAAAGCGATCGCATACGCAACAGGAACGTTGACAAAAGCCGAGAGGAAGTATAGCCAAATCGAGGAGGCATTGGCCATAATCTTCGCAATGAAGAAACTCCACGAAATACCATATGGCCGCCGCTTCAATCTATTGACGGATCACAAACCGTTACTGGTTATCTTTGGCTGGAAGAAAGGCATTCCTGCCTTTACGTTGGACAGTCACTGTGCTGAGTTATGATTTCGAGATTCGCTACAAAGCCACGATTTCCATAGGCCAGACAAACGCGCTGTCACGCCTCATTAACGCTCATCAGCAAGATAAAGAGGACACGATCATGGTCTCAGTCCCACTGGAACCTGACGCCAACTTTCTCGTGAGTGACGCATTACTTAACCTACCAGTTACCGCAGAAGCTGGACGAATGGAAACGCTCCGCGACTTAATACTCAACAAGGTGACTCAATTCCACATAACCAATTGGCCACGTTCATGTGCATCAGTCCAATGGCAGCAGTACTACCAAAGGAGACATTCACTCTCTATTGTGCATGACTACATACTATTTTCCGGGAGTTGTCATCCCAAAGATCCTACATTAGCACGGACTTCGGCAGTTCCATGCCAGGCACCCTGGAATCAACCGGATGAAGGCGCTTGCCCGTAGTTATGTATACTGGCCCTTCATGGACAAACAGCCATAAGAGCTGGCCAAACGCTTCCAAAAGTGTGCCACAAAAAGCGGAGCTGCATTCATGGCCAGAAGCTACTGAACCATGGTGCCGCATCCATGTCGACTTCGCAGGACCGATCAACGGCCAACTTTTCCTCATCGCAGTCGATTCTTACAGTAAACGGTCCGAATTGTTTCTCATGGATAGCACTACAACTAGTGCTACACTACCAAGGCCGCGCCAGATCTTCAGCAGTTTCGATTGTCTAGAAACATTTGTAAGTGACAACGGCACGCAATTTACTTCAACAACTTTCACAGAATTCTGAAAGCAATGGCGCCATCCGGCACATTCGCTCCTCGCTGTTTTACCCACAATCGCATGGCCAGGCAGATAGGTTTGTGGATACAGTCAAGCGAGCTCTTCACAAGTTAAAGCGGAGGAACGCATAGTGGAAGTGATCGACAGATTCTTTTTCTTGTATCAGTCCACACCAAACCCACAAGCATCACTTGGAGTATCCCCTGCAGAAGCACTGATGCACATTAGAATCCGCATGCTATTCGGTAGTCTTAACCCAATCATGAGTCCTCATACGGAGAAAGGAACCAAAGACTGGAACAAGAATTCAATCGACGGCATTGAGCAAAGCAACGTCCATTCAAGCTCGGAGATTCAGTGCTTGCAGACGACTACCGGAAAAGCCATGCATCATGGAATCCAGATGAGGTCAAATGTAAACGTGGATGTAATTTACGATTTGCTTGTAGATTCGCAAACCAGGGTACGCCATGCAAATCAGCTACTCCCAACGCTGTGCCGGTCAGAGACGAGGAACTCAACCGAACTGCCTTACGACCTTGTAAATCATTTCGGCTTGACGAAACCAGACAGGAAGGGCCACAATGAATCGGACGATGCATCAAATCAAGAGCCAACTCCAAGAACACTTCAACTTAGGAGATGGACGGAGACGGAGAACGCCGTTATCAGGACTGCAAGTGAACCCGAGGCTATCATCCTACATCGCAGCCGCGATCTCAAGATGGGAGATGTCCGTAAGAGTAAAATCTCCCTGAGCAAGTCATTAATTCAAATGGAAAATGATTCGAGCTAATGTTGTACCAAATGAAACATCAACACGTTTCAAGAATGTTTGCATGAAACGCATTCAGGTCTACACGACGCACGAACCTACCCATTGGATAGCGGAACTGAACTACCAATCAGGGCAGCTTACCTAGCTGTTCTGAAACGCACATTCATGGGTAGGTCAATAAATATTCAATGGTTTGCACACTACTTGTATCCGTTCGGTAGCTTGTTCTGTAACGTGCTTTTGCCTCTAAGCGTTGACTTCTGGTTTCCGGTTGGGATTCGGCTAGCAAAGAACGAGTTCAGTTCAACCAGAATTGCCCAAACAGAGGTAAATCCTAACAGAGGAGGAGTCATAGCGATAACTCGGTCGAGAGAAATTAAACTCGCCACTTCCAACAGTGTCGGTTGATGAATCTCGACTGCGTGGCTGGGGTCCCAAGGACGATGAACAGGTTTGGTTGGACACACTTACAGATATAGCTAAGAGCCGGCTTCAATGGCGTTTGCGTTGTAAGTTTCTTTTTCCAGTTCCTCTTCTTTATCTTCTCCCTCCAATTACGATCTCATGTGAAATGCATAGTACAATAGTTAGCTCTATATTACTTGCTTTTTGAATTCCTTGTAGTGCATTTTTTAGTATCTTATCTTTTACTATTGCGGGACATTAGCTGAAGTGTGTTTCTCGCCCTCAGCTAACGTGTATTGACGATGATGATAATGCGCTAACCTTCACTGGCCAACTAGAAGTTACTCAGCAATTCCGTAACTGGGCAGTGATATTATCACTTGTAAAATAGTTGGTGTCACCAAAACTATAGCAGGAGATCGAGGCGCATTTTCTTGTCTTCGCCACCCACGGCGCCTGTGCAATATCACGCTCACTATTGAGGCTAGAATTTACACCGCTGCCGCCCGCTACATCTTGCTATTCGTCTGCGAAATTTGGTCCCATTAGCTAGACATAGAGCTTAAATGCGTTCAACCACCGGTGCTTTCTCAATTTGTTCGTATCTGATGAAATAAATGGGTAACTAATGAGCGCCTTCATCGACTGGATTGTGACAGAGGGAAATAAATCAGCCGCTTGGCAACGTTATTTCACGCACCAGGCACCGATGGTTGGGTCATGTGTTGCGCTTACCGGCACACCGACTCCCGCAACTTACGCTGTTTGCACAACCAGCATGTGGATGGAAGAATAAGGGGGTGGAGTTAGCCTGTGTATCCATCAAGAGTAAGTGAAGGCTGTATCTTCGAACCTAGCCTCGGTTAGTGTCTCTCGACACCCTGGTTTGGGTCCGAAGTAAGTTCAAATTTGGTTGTCGGCACTTGTTGTTATGACCATGAACCGACCTCGATGGCGTGAGTTTCTTTACTCCTTCCCGCTTAGCGTCCCCCTCCAACTAAGGTCTGTCTATACATAACATGGAATGAAGCACAATATCGTTTTTCGCCGTTTTCATTCATTTTTAAAATTAACATCTAATTGCATTGTATTGAAGCGCGGTAGCTGAGTGGTTTTTCTCTTGCTAACATGTAAACCAATGTCGACAATAGTGTAGGTCCTGTTTACCTGACCACAATGTGGGCCGTTTCAATAAACTGCACTTTGGTATGTTTTTGTAGTCTTAGTGACTGAGATCCATTCAACGCAGCTGCTTGTGAAATCACTCCCTAGAAATTCATTTTATTGTCCTGATTAATTGTGTCCTGTGGGGTTTCTTTTGCCATCTAGTGTTGTCTGCACTCTTTTATAGGATCCGACCTTTTTAGAGCAGTTGACGAAGAACATCACACGCTATGGAATGACGACCACAACATTAAACTTCTTCCGGCTGTGTGTGATTTTGGAGCCCATGCAGGAGCTAATGTCGCGACAAAAAGCCTACAGTCTGACACCTCGCGACTGTCTAAAGACAACGCTTTTCCAAAAATGGCAGCGAATGATGCCCCAAGGTAACTTACTAGCCTTTTTTCTGAACTATTTACGAGGGTGCTTTGTAAATCCCTTCTCCATTGACCCAACTTTTGCGTCGCTTTTACACCTCTGGAGACATTTTTGCTTGTTGTTACCCATCACACTAAGGACATTTAGCTCCGTTTGCAGAGCCGTGTATTTGCAGTTTTCCATCTTCCTTTTAACTTAACCAACTTACAGGTGATAGTGTATCTTTTTGGCGTGAGGCCTACTTGAGCACCTATCTTTCTACTGAGTATTCTTCATCTAAAGCCCCCATTTTACCGCAGATGCGTTATACTTAAGAGGAGACCCTAAGGAAACGGATCCTTAACCTAGAGATCCGCAGGAAAACATTATAGGTAGGTTAGAAGTGTGTTTCAGGGTTGTCACTTTTCTTGGTAAGTAATGGATGAAGGGGAATTAATAACGTCCAGGAAAGTCAACCGCGCCATATCAGTGCCACTGACATTCGCCATACAATCACCGTCTCTACTGACGGATAATTTGATACTTGAAGACCGTCTTATCAAATAGTTAGAGAGACAGGAGCGACCTTGTGGACCGGAACACTTACTCTGGTGGTATTGCTTAGCCACTTCCTCCTAACTGTGCTAAGCTGTGCTTTGGCGTTGGTTTCATTGAAGAGGACGTCACATTAGTCGGTTTTAAAGCTTACATCCCCACACTATCGACTCCAACCGCATCCAATACGTTCTGATGTCGGTCACACTCGCTCGCATCGTTTGTATGTGCCGCATCTCAAGGGGTACAACTCTGGATTCCTATAATGATGTCCAATAAAGTATGATGTCACTAGCAGGTTGCTTGATTTTTGCGCTTGGAATTATTGACTGTGATTTCTCGGAGTGAGACTACTCCCTGAATTGAGGTCTTTTAAATGGATTGGCCCCTCTAATTAGTGCCTATGCACTCCTGTGCGCGTTCAAAGCAAACCTACAGAGCGGCGCTTTAGATTTCCTAACTGTTGCGACTACATCTTTCTCGATACACGAGGTTCTTGATTCACTTTTCAACCCTGAATACTCCCGACAAAAACCAAGTTGTTGAGGACGATAACTATTACTAGCGCACTCCTAACAGATGAGTCGAACAATCCAGAGAGTGGCATTGGAACCATGCAAGTTCCACTGCTATCACCTTTAGGATACACGTGTAATGCTCGGAAGCGTCCTGATGGTTGAAACAGACGGAAGCAACTTCAAGCACTAGATGTTATCGGGAAACATCAAGGTAACGCAGAGTCATGAGATGATTACATCCTCGTTAGAATCACAATAATAACCAGTTAAGGACGATTACTTTCTGTAGTCAACTTTGATCCAAACGCAAATTTGGCCCGTACTTTTATTGGTAGGGAATGAACGAAGGGAAACAAATGACTTCCAAGCCCAAGCCTGCCTTGTAATCCGTGGGCGCGGATTCGAGCCTACGTGGGTGACTAGGCGATCCTCACGCTATCCTTAGCTCACGTGCGACTAGTGCTAGTTGCACAGCAGTGAAGCGTCAGTACTGCGTACCGGAGTACCGCTAGTGCCTTTCTTCTTTATCTAGGTTGTATCTTTAAGAATAACAATGGAGAGAACAACAGGGTACTACTCACTTCACAATCACATTGTATCGAGCGGGATCTCTCACTATTGACTTTACCGGTTTCGAGTTGCCGACACACTATTTTCATGTATTTTTCCAAGTCAACGAATGATCACTTATAGCTCCCCCAAACTGTGTACATGTCCCGCAAACAGCATGCTCCGGCATTTGTGGTCAATTCTCTTCCCACTTTTGCAGTTCTCATTCACAGGCCAAATTATATTGATCGAAGGTTCAGTCAGATAGCGTGTTCTTGTTCACTCGTCCGTGTTTGCACCTTAATCAAAACTTATTATGCTTTTATACTTGGCAGTTGTCTCAAGACCGTAGACCCAGACGAATGCTGCATTAAACCTCGGACAGCACGGCTCCATGTAACTTCTCTGCTTTGCAATACATGCTGCAACTTTTCTCACTCTGCGGTCCATTATTGGTCTCTGTCATATATTACTCTATCTGACTTAGTTCCGGTGCATTGTCTGCATTCACAGTCGTACCGCTCCCGATCGCTCCGTATCACTTACCTGTCATCATCATCATCATCATCATCATCAACAGCAGTACATCAGCCATTTGAACTGATGCTTCGCTGCCATACAACCATGTGAGGACCTATGAAATAAAGAATAATAAGAGGGAGAGAAGGGGGACTTACCGGAAAACCTTAATGCCCTAAGCAAACATTCCGGGTCAAGGCGCCTACACCTTGTGTAGACAACATGCCGTCACAAACAGCTGGCTACCGTGTTCTATTTCCACGCGCCCTTAATTAGCGGCCTATTCTGAATGAAAACTTCGTCCCTTCTGGTGTTTCTGGGTAGGGACACAATTTTAGCAGGAAGTGTTAACGGTTAAAAAATATTCCGATATCATCCTCGCTCTTTGCGTAAACTATCTTTATTCCACCAGTAAGGTAATCAGTAGTTTCGATCATATCCATCCTTACGAGAACCATTCGGATACCTTGTGAGCAAGTGCCTAAAGGCCTGCATCGATTTCGACTACTTGGCATCCATGTGTTCTGGCTGATATGCTTCCGATTGCATGCTTTCTTCCTAGTGTCTGTTAATCCTTCTTACTTGCTTCTCTTTTTCATCTACCTTTCCATATTCGTGTCTTCCTAATTTACATCCTGTGGCATCAGCCGTGGGTTTCGTGCTTGCACCATTCCAGCAAAATGTTGATCAGCAGTGTTCTTGGACCTTGTGTGTTTTTGTTCGACAAGCGTTCTTCATACAAAGGACCACAGGTCTTAACAATACAATACCTTCGGTTGTTTAGACAACGGCTAGTTGCCACCCGGAGTTTGTAGGTAAGCGCACATAGATGGGACCGGATTCTACAACGGGCGACCATTAAATTTGCGGGAATTCTACTGGTGTTTTCCTTTGTCATGTTTCGGTAAGTGAAAAGGGCACAGCCTAGCCGCATGCGTAGTCGGGCTGCAGGTTGTTTCAGTAACATCTTTCTCACTTTCCGCAGTTTTATCTGTCAAACCGTTTGGTGATGGGTGCTAAGATACAGTAGTTACGTGTCTAATACCATTCGAGATAAAGAAGGCGGCAAATTCAGCACAAGAGAATGCTGTTCTATCATCCGACATTAGGGTTTCTAGACGACTGGAGATCGCAAGCGTCATGCGCACTTTAACTAATATGTTCGCTGAATTTGCTGCTGTCAAGATGTGAGCAGTGATCAACAAAAGTACCCGATTTTCGAAAGAACAGAAAAAGTCTATGTGGATACGTTTCTTAGGGCTTCTAGCCACTCCAGTGTTGTATTGACACATGGAGATCACCGTTCCGATTCTCCTGACAATGCACGTAACTCCTAATCTTTAGCACAATATCCTCGTCTACTTCAGGCTACCATACATGAAAACGGGCTAGCGGCCTCATTTTATCAACCTCCTGGTGCGTATCATGCAGTTCATACTAGGTAACTGATGGCAGCTTCTTGAGTAGTGCAACCTTTGCACCCCACAATACACATCAATTCTGGAGCCTGAGTTCCTTAGTTGTGTTTTTTAGCCATTTGACCTGAACGTAGCGTCCCACCAGTGCTAAAAGGGCTCTTCTCGGTTTCTCTGCGTATGTCTGTTGAAGTGGCTGGAGAATTTTTGCAATGCAGCATCGATTTTCTTTGGCGAAAATTCTTCCCAAGAAACTTTCGTTAGTGGGAGCCGATCGAGGGAATCAGAAGCAGTATTTTATCGTCCAGAAACTTATTGAATTTGTTATCTATATGCAGACAGAATCAGAGAACAGCGGTCAATTTTGGGTAAAGTCATTTGCTGTATCCTTATTTCGTGGCCAAAAACGGATACATGAGGCTTACGATCTGTGTACAGCAAAAGCGTTGACAGAATAGGGATTGATGAAATCGAATCGTACCGAAAACAACCGCCTCTGCCTCTAGATCAATGTGCGAGTAATTCTATTCTGATGCCGTCAAAGTTCATGAAACATAAGCAGTAGGTCGATGAGAGCCGTCCAGTCGTTTTGTGCAGTAATACAGCCCCGAGACCGTACAGTGGAGCATCGCAAGAAAGATCAATTGGCTTCTTTGGATGGTAATGCAAAAACACCTCAGTGTCTGCCAGGCGTTTCTTACATTACCAACACTTTCCCGAACACTGTTCCCATTCTAAGGTTGCTTTTTGCGTAAAAGTGGAGGAAGCGGATTAAAATGGGTTGCCGCTGACAGTATGAATCTGGAAAACTGTATGACTGCTCCCACCAATTTGTTACACCAAGACGAAATCAGCAAAAAACGGCTGCGTAGTGGGACGGTTATTCTGGTAACGATAAGATCGATTGTGAACCAAAGGGAAACGACTCAGGCGAAAGTTGCGTGTATCATACGGACACTAAACCAAACTTACCAATTCATAGACATAGTACGCGGACAGTTGCCGGTAATAAACACACACACACGCGCAACAAGCGCCTGTCACGACGTATAACTTAGTAGCAACATAGTCTGAAAGTAATCCAGTTGCCTTCTCCTACTTGCTAGGCTCTGCGGGAACTATGTGCTGGAGTGCCTGTAAGCTTGATGCCGAGAGCAGCAGTATGGCCATTTAGGAGAGCCTCGGCATTATAATGCAGCAAAACTGCACGAACTGCGTCCTCACTGCGATGATAAACTTGACAAAGGCAGTAGCGGAACAGGCCATCATTAATTGACCCTCTTGGACGTTAGTTTCTTTCTTGTTACCGAGTTGCTGATGTAGTGCTTACAGTACAAACTATCTAGCTTGATTTGATAAACGTCCAGTATGAAGTGGAAATGTTGTACAACCGTCTTTGCACACTATACTTTTGTCCTTTAATCAGGATTCTGTTATGCTTCTATCCGGAAGTCAGAGTTATACTTAGTGCACGGATGATCTTGTTAGATTTCGTAGTTTGCATCACTATTCTTGATAAACCTCGGTGGTATCCACCGGACTGCTGTTGCCGTTCTTCATCTGAACGAATCGAACGTTGTCTTCCTACATTACGCCACCAGAATGTGATGCACATTTGTAGACCTCTACTACTCTCCATTTAAGAGGCATGTTATCACTCCTACTTCAGCGTGGCGCACGTCTTCATTGCCACTGATGTCCCATGTGAAAGATTCCGACTTTCGTCATGTGCAATGGTAGTCATTCACCGTTCAATACTCTTAAGGTGGCCATCTATTCTTTATGTTTTACTATCGACCTTCGACATGTCTTGTTTTTCCTACTCCCGATCATCGTGAAGTTTTCTTCCGTTTCCTGTTGTGATTTCAGAAACTACCCGCCAACCTAGTAAAAGGCGTAAGAGAAAAGGTAGCTCGGCAACCAGCGATGGGACAAATAATAGTTCTACTGGACGCGTTTCCAAACGTAAACAATCCCCTGTTCTCCTTCCTTCCCACCACATTGCTCAACCAGGCGTAAGTTTTTCTTTAGACTATCCAATTTAAGGCACTTGTTCTTATCTTCCTGATGTTATCCCTTCCCCATGCAAAAACTACTAGACATGCCGTATTCATCGCCTATTGACATGATATACATAGTTGTACATTTGGAAAGCATGACTTATTCGGCGTTAGCTTTAGCCTATCTCATAACTAGTTTTGTTCAGTTACGCCTTACCTGTGTATAACCCGTTAAGCTATATCATTTTTCGGTACTTTCAGCATAACTCAGTTTAACAGGTCAGGTCTCCTTGCACACTAACTTAGCGAAAAACCTTTGTCTGGTTGGGCCTCTGGTTGCGAACTGTTCTGTTGGTTAGTTGTGTGCACTCACACAACGAATGATAATAGTTTGTTGCAGTGACCGTCTCGTAGCTTCATGATTCGATTTATCCACTGCATATGACAGGATTGGCAAACGGAAATAAGGCCACAGTGAATTGTGGTTTTTCCAGCTGTTACTTTTTAATCTAGCATTTTTTGCCAGATGACTACTCGTTGTGCGCCATGCAGTGCTTACCTTCATGTGACTACATTCCGTTTGGGCTCATTGTTCGGTGTTAGAGTGCCCACCGTGTATGTTTGGATTGCGACCACGGTGTCGCGACAGCAACACCGAATTTCTCCGCAGTTGGAGTATTCTTTTCGCTTCTGCCAGCCACATAAGGGCTGCTACAGTGTCTATTGATCCATTACTATCAAGCTCTTCTCACCGTGTGTCGCACTACTTGATATTTTTGGCTTCTTTCCACGCATGTGCCTCATAACAAGCAGAAAAGCATTCGTTTGCACTTATCGAATTGACTGTACCCGTCTATCCTCGTTACTTAATTGCACGCTTTCGGGAATGCGTACACAGCTACTTGGATTGGACGTTGTTCTCAGCTCCATAGCTCTTTCCTCGCTTATCGGCTTGGCCCTTGTATAACTCATTTGACTTCTACTGGCTAGGCGTGCAGATTAATACTGATCGCTCTTGCTCAGAAGCCAAACTTGAAATCGGATTTGACTTTACGGAGGACTAGATGAGCATCCACGAGTATTACTAGCAGTCTAACGAATATACACAGTACTAAACACAACTACGGAAACCACTGGGAGAATGCAGGCTTAGTGAACGCGTCATGGTGCATATGCTGTAGACGAGCAACACGCTTCAGCCACAGTGCCGCAAGATGCACGGGACTCGTGTTATTTTTGTTATTTTTTCACATCTCGTTTTTCCTATTTTTTTAAAATCTTTTTCAGTGGTTAAGCATCAAGCACCAGTATCTATTCAAGTATCTACACAGATCTACTAGTTTCGATTGCGCACCATATCCCGAATTGTTTCCAGCTATCGGCACTCTATGTCCTTTGGTCTCCAACCGGGCAGATGTATATTGATCCAACAGCAACAAGACGGTTAGTAAACCATTTTATATCCTGTCGTCAAGTAGATGGCTGACCGCCACGTAGTCTCTTCCAGCTAAGTCCTGCAAGAACAAGTAGGCGTAATTGAGCAGACACTCAGCAGGACGTGACCGAATTATCTTAACTGCCGCAGCAAAACGAGCTTGTTGAAAGGAATACTCACATTCCCTAAGACACGACACCTGACTTCACTGCTGCAGATGCGTTGCTGCCACCACACACAATTCATAATTACCCTGCGTCATTCATGAGAACTGGCCACGACTCATTTCAATATGGCAACACCGCCCGAACGGTGGCACCGTAAACGCAACTTTTTACCAAAAGCGAGACATCCCGGCGACCTCACATGTGTTTCAGGTTGACGAACCCTAACCGAGATTTGGCAGTGCGGAGGGAAACTCCTTTCTCAATAGTGCCACCAGGAGACACGCAGCTGCTCAGGTAGACAAAGCCATCCACTTGTTCAAGCGGTGTATCTTCAAAAATGAGCATGGGAATGAGTAATTATCCGTCCTGGAGCAGAACTTTGCACTTCTACGGGGCGAAGCACATTCTGTACTCAGATGCGTACTCTGCGAGTCATCACCAAATAGGGTGATGTCATCGGCATAATCTGAGCCGATCGCTCGCTTGCGCGATAGTAGCTGCAAAGAAAATGTTGATAACCTTCCAGAGCTCTCGATAGGACGTCTTCAATCGCGAAATTGTAGAGGAAAAGGAACGTAGGGCAACGCTGTCGTACACCGCTTTTGACAGCGAAGGACAAAGAAAGCTTGCCATAGACGCTTTGCCGGAGATGTGAAGATAGAGTATACGCGAATGGCAGTGTACTTTTCTGGGATCCCTGTTTTTAGTGAGCAACGCCATAGCACAGGGCATCCACTATCCCACTTCGAATTCAGTGGAATTGCTCTTTTGGATGAATTACATGATTTGTCAGTAAGACTGTGGGAGCAGGAACCTGCTGGAACGGTTCCATTATTTTCCAAACCTTCAAGAATTGCTCACGTTCGATATGCGTCCGTCATAGAGGGATCAGTCTGATCTCCATCGCTCCTAAGTTACTTGCTTTTGTCGCCATTCACAGATTGACTGGGGCCTTTATAGGCCTTTTTCGTGAAGAGCAGCCTGTGTTTCGTCAATGTCGAGGCTTCATTGACTACCTCACTTTACGTCAGCTACTGCAACATCGCCACGTTTATTGATGACCCATCGTACTCATAGGTGCCTCCGAATCGGTGATTAACTATACTGGTTTCGGTTGTCTGCTTACTGAAGATATGCTCGAAAAATATATGTATATTATAAAATTCACTTTAATTTTAAAGGTCGAGCAGAGTGAGGGCTCATGGTAAACCATTAGAACTTCTCAATATCTCCAGCATCCGGAGACAAGAATGCCATCTGCCAATTTTCATTTTCTGCTTCACTGTTAACGAATTTGTCGTGACTGCGTTCACTGGACAGGATTTAAAAAGTGTGGGGCTGCTTCCAGCTCACAGACTTACCAAGTAGCACTGTCCGGGGGATGATAAAAATTCCCCGGAAAATCCATTGTTTCAGCGATTAATCGATTGCTATCCGTTATCGCATCGATTTCCACAGTTCTGGATTATTCTAGTGCCTACACGTGACTAGTAGTCTGAAGATTGGCCAAATCTACGTGGAACAATTAATCTTCCTATTCCAGAAGTCGGTCGGTAAGGGACCTATAAATATAGTCATGATCAGCTGCAGTTCTACAGTGTTTTGTTCACCTCGATTAACACGTTATTTTGTCAAGGTCATTGGCGTTCTGCTTTTTGTTACTGGTGAGTAGTGAGGAATTCGCTGCTTTTCCTTGCTGCTTTTTCCCTCCATTGGGCTAGAAGTTTTGTAAAGCAGTAAACTGCCTATCTCAGAATCGCGACGGATAAAATTGGAAATAAGATGCATTTTTCTGCCGAAAAGCTGCTTTTCCAACAGCAATGTTAACTTGAGGCACAAATGAAAATGATCGAAAAATTAACACAGTTTGCAGTCAACAGAAGCATGGACGCGGGACACGCAGGCGAGTTCCGTTGATCTTCTCACGAATGCAATCACTGAATTCAATTATGACGCAGATTCGGGATGCACATTCGAAGCGTAGTTCAAGCGCTGAGAACACATGTTCCGGATGGACTTCATTCGTCAGGATGACTCCTGGAAGCTGCGATTGCTGCTCCGCAAGCTCGGAATAAGTGAACATTCAAGGTTCATAGACCACATTCTGCCCAAACAGCCGAAGGATCTGACCTTTGACGAAGCAGTGTTGCAGCTGAATGAAATTTTGGTAAATCAGTATCCTTGTTTAGTATTCGTTATCAATGCCTGAAGATTGTCAAACGGGAATCGGATGACTTTGGGGCCCTAGCGGACATGAGTAACCGTGAGTGTGAGTGTTTTGAACTACGCACTAACGGACGATCAGTTTAAATGTCTCATTTTCGTCAGCGCTCTACTATCCCCAAGTGATGCTGAGATCCGCACACGGTTTTTGGCTAAGCTGGATCAGGATCCCGATCTGACATTGAAGACTCTGGTAAGTGAATGCAAACGGCTGCTCACTCTCTACCACGACACTGTCCTGGTCGAACGGAATGGTCTCGCACCACCAGATACTGTGCACTTCGTGAAAATGTCCAGGACTGTCAACTCAAGCAAACCATTCAAGAGGTCCACGAACAAATCGCCCACAGCATGCTGGTCATGCAGCGAATGGCATTTCTCACGTTTTTGCCCTTTCAAACGTCATATTTGTCAAACATGCCATAAGCGTTGGCATAAGGAGGAATTCTGCAGTCAGATCTGACCGAAGAACGTGAGAAGTCTTATCAAAAGAGGAACTAGAAAGGATGGCGCAGAGTCTCTGTCCATAGTTGCCGCATTCCAAGGTTAGTGTAAACAGAGACGACGATTTATCGGGGTATTGATCAATGGGATCCCAAGGAAACTGCAATTTGACACGGCCTCGGAAATTACTATTATTTCCAGGAACACATGGAATCATATAAAGAGACCAATGATGGTCTAATCTCACAAAGTTGCTCACAATGCATCCGGTGGTCTGCTATATTTGGTAGGCGAACTTACTTGCAACATTGCATTCAACGGTGTGAATGAGTCGCGAACGTGTTGCATTTCAGACTGACCGAATTTGAATCATCTTAGTCGCGACTGGATTGAAAGGTTGCAACTCCTTGATGTTCCTTTAAATCAGATCTGTAACCGAGTCCGAATAAGTCCAGACTCATCACCAAAGTCCGTCGAAGACACGACATGTTCGCTGAAGCGAAAATTTGCCTCTGTCTTTCAGGATGGCTTGGGTCATTGCACAAAATCCAAGGCAGCGCTGAGCCTGCGACTAGGAGCCAAACCGGTTTTTAAGGCTAAATGACCGGTACCATATGCAGCCATGTCAACTGTTGATCAAGAACTCGATCGAATGGAATGAGCCCGAGTCATAACAGCCGTCAACTACTCGGCGCCAGCCATTTTCCAACAGTTGATGGATACCGTGCTAGCGGGCGTTTCTGGACGAGGTCATAGTGATGGGTCGAACACAGGAAGAGCTATTTAACCGCCTGGATGAAGTGCTTGGTTGTATACAGCCATGCGGTTTCCTGATCCGCGAGGATAAATGTACATTTTTAACGCCTCTCATCAAATACCTCTGTTTTATCCTTAAAAAGGATGGACCTCGACCAGATCCGGAAAACATAAAAGCCATTAGAAAAATGCCTCCATCAACAGATTTACAGTCCTTGCGTTTCTTTTGTGGGCTCATCAGCCACTACAACGCATTCTTGCCTGAGGTGCACCGCTTGTGTGCCTCGCTAAGCAACCTACTAGTCAAGGGCCAAACTTGGAACTGGAGAGTAGAATGCCTTCGAACGGGTCAAGACAGTGCTGTTCTCAAACTTGCTTTTGAGTCATTTTCATCCCACCAAATTGTCCTAGCCACATGTGATTGGCGCAGTAATTTCACGCACATACTCAGACGGATCACAGAAAGCAACCGTCTATGCCGTCCGAACACGTACGAACGCCGAGAGAAATTACAGTCAGATCGAGAAAGAAGCATTGGCTATAGTGTACGCGGTCAAGAAATACCACAAAATGCTGTACGGCCGTCGCTTCAAGCTTCTGATAGATCACAAGCCTTTGTTGATTATCTTTGGTTCGAAAAAGTGCATCCCGGCCTACACAGCCACACACATTGGGCTCTTACTTAATGGGGTATGAGTTCGAGATCCACTACCAGTGTACAATTTCCATTGGCCATGCGGATGCACTGTCACGCCTAATTGATGCCCCCCAGCAAGAACATGAGGACACAATCATTTCCTCGTTCGAGATTGAACCTGACGCCAACTATCTGGTGAGTGCCGCCTTGCACGGTCTACCAGTTACCGCAGAAGTTGTACGAACGGAAACACTTCGGGACCCAGTCCTCAAGAAAGTCACACCGTTTCACAAAACGTGTTGGCCACGTTCATGTTCAACTATCGAGTTGCAACAGTACTACCAGAGGAGAGATTCGCTCTCTATTGTGAACGACGGTATACTATTTTCGGAGAGTGGTCATCCCCAAGGTACTTCAGGAGCGCGTTATTCGGTAGTCCCATGTCGGGCATCCTGGGATCAACCGGATGAAGGCGCTTACCCGCATTTGCGTATACTGGCCCTTCATGGACAACCAGCTAGAAGAAATAGCTAAACGCTGCCAAAAGTGCGCGAATGTCTTAAAAGCGCCATAAAAAGCAGAGCTCTATTCATGGTCAAAAACTACTAAACCATAGTGCTGCATCCATGTCCACTTCGCAGGACCGATCAACGGCCGAAGTTTTCTCATCATAGTCGACTTATACAGCAGGTGGCCTGAAGTATTTCTTATGGAGAACACAACCACCAATGCCACTGTATCAAAAATGCGCCAAACTTTCGGCGGATTCGGCTCTCCAGAAACAATTGTAGCTGAAAATGGAACACAATTTACTTCAGCAACATTTACGGAGTTTTGCAAGCAATGCGCCGTCCAGCTCGTTCCCTCGCCGCCGTTTCACTCACAGTCGAATGGCCGGACAGAAAGGTTTGTGGCTACGTTCAAGCGAGCTCTTCATAAGTCGAATGGGGAGGGACGTATAGAGGTGGTTGATCGGTTCCTTTTCCTCTACCGATCAACACCGAATCCACAAGCGCCGGATGTAGTTTCTCCAGCACAGGCTATGATGCATCAAAAGCTCCGCATGCCTTGCGACGCCAGGCGACCGCTCTCGGTATCCTCCGTTGGTGAAAGAAACCGCAGAATGGAACAGGGTTTTAACCGGCGGCATGAAGCAAAGCAGTGATCGTTTACACTTGGACAGGAATTGCTAGTACGCGACTATCGGGAAGGCCACGCAAAGTGGACGCCAAGGACGGTCAAAAACAAGCGCAGAAATGTCATGTATGACGTGATGGGGAGAACAAAGATCTGGGTCCGACATGCAAACCAGCTACGGCCAATATTGGGCCAACTAGAACAATCAAGGCCTACCGACCTCCGGTTCGACTTATTGGTGGAAAGCTTCAACTTGCCGAAGAAAGCTGTGGACGACTGCTCACAGTCGAGCAAGGTTCACAGACTACAGACGTCGGAACCCACTTCTCGAGCACTTCAGCCCCGGAGATGGACCGTGTCCGTTGTTAGAGTCCGAATGACCATGAACACTTCTGATTGACGACACATCGATATGGCAGTAAGCCGACCTCAATGGGGTTTCTTTCTTACTCCCCATCCCACTTAATATTCAACCGCGATCTCAGTTTCTACTCAGGATATACTTTTCCGTTTCTAATACCTCTGGATTCTCCGTTTTACTTTTATCTTTCCCCTTCTCCTTTTATTCTACCATCCACCTTTTTGTATGACGACACATTGTCCAACTAACGTGGATAACGATGAATGATGCTGGGCATTTTTGGGATTCAATGCACATACCGAAAGGTGCAGCGCTACACATCAGCCTATTCAGCAGCGCTTGCTTGGTGATCTACGCTTTAGTGTTTCTTGCCTTACACGTACCCATGCCAGCTACAAATTACACATTCTGTGTGTCTATTCCCTATCAGTACAGCAGCTTCCGTTTGTGGCCGCTCGAATGATTTCAGAGACATATTGTCGGTATACTCCAAACTGCCGTAAACTTGATCGCTACTAATTTGGAATGCATGACATTCTCATGTCGGCCATGTCCTAAATGGTAGAGGATCTAGCCCATGATTCTTGAGTACTTTTATTTGTTCATAAAGTCCTTACGCAGTAGCTACGTATTGCTAGCGTGATACCTATCACAGCATGGGGAGTACTTCGCTTCCGGCTGCTCTTGTGTTTTAAACACTCAGTTGATTTGACGCAACGAAATTATGTCCACTGCTGTTAAACTTTTGGCTGTGAAATTAAGTTCCACCATCACTTCATTGTGTGTAGAGGAGGTGAGAGTAACAAGGACAGCACTCAATGTGGTGCAGTGTTATGTCTGACTTATACTTCTCTTCCTCTCGACAGCACATGGATTTCAGTTCCTTTCATTTGATCATTCATGGTCCATATTTGGTTAATGCAGTTGTCTCACTTGGTTTCGAACAGCTTGCAAAAAATGAGAAGCAAGAGTCAATTCAACAGACGGAATATAGCAACGGTAAAATTATCAAGTTGGAAAGTTGAAAGCCAGAAGTAACGGACTAAGTGCAAGGTCTCTACTGAGATTTCGGGAATCTGTGGTTCCCTTCGGGCTCCGCATCCGAGAAGTCGAGTTTCATAATCTTTGGCTTACCACTGACTGACTCTCTCGAGGGTTCACTTAGATTCAGCGGTGGTATGCAACGAACTTAAAACAGCTTATCGGTACTTATGCGAAGAACTTAACCTGTCAAGCTTGGGCCACTCGAACTCAATATCCATTCATGGGTTGCGCCAGGATGTATAATATTAAACAGCAGCAAGCGGATGCCAACATTACTTATTCAACATCCCATAGGATATGCGCAATACTCTGTAATCGTCGGTAGTCAACGGTCCATAGTTTCTTGGGGTCTGTGTTTATGCAGCTCAGCGACATTTACAGTGCCAAAAGAATGTATATCCTACTCCTGATTGATAGTTTGTTATTCCGCCTTCTGCATACACTGTTGGGGTTGTGAAAGGGCACACAAGGCTTTTAATATACGCACTTAGTCTATTCGGTAACTTGATCATCATATGCGATATAAAGACATGGATAAGTGGACAATTTCCAGTGGCTTTTGGGTGATGGTGTATGCACTTATAGTTCGCTTGTCTGACGCAGCTTGCACCGTTCGTTCGGCGGCTGGCAAAGCTCCCACTCAGGCCCGGTTGTATTATTTCGCCTTGCTCTCTTTTGTGTCTTTTCTGTCCCATTTCGTGTCGTTCTATTTTTTCAACCCTGATGTCATTTCGCCTTCCGTAAGGAGGTTAAGCCCCTATAGGATTTCTAGTGAGCTGCTGGTCAGTATAGTGCTGGCTTTCTTCCTCGCTGTCCTTGTCGATGTTGACACAACTTGACTTACTATTTTTGTCCCCTTTGCATTATCGCGCAGTCGATCGCTTCATTGGGCACCACTTCGTAATAAACTGCTCCTAAATAAAATTTGGGAATACCCATTTGACCCTTCATGTGTCGTCTATTCGCTTTTCCAACCTAATTCGCATTCTTAGAATCTGCGGTTTTTTACTTAGTAGTTCGTCATACAAGCGCATTCTAAATCGTTTAAATTGGGGACACCCAGTGATTGTCATTTCTCCCTTCCTTTGATTTTCAGGATGTCATGATCGTCGGCGAGCCCACTTTGATGGGTGGAGATTTCGGAGACGAAGATGAGCGTCTAATAACGCGGCTGGAAAATACTCAATATGACGCCGCCACGAACACCGCCCCACCCAGTTCACATATGCATCTAAATTTTCCTGGGGCAGTCGAGCCCTCCGGCGTGATTTCATGCCCTATGGGAAACATGAATGTGGCCCTAAACGCCAGTTCACATTCAGCTTCTGGCGTTCCATTTCGCTGTTCCATGGTTCAGGGTGCACTTAATTCGCATTTTGGCATGTGTCCTGGCGAACCTATTTATGCGAACAGCTTTCAATCAATGTCTCAGCATCCCTCTTCGCAACAAATGTCTGCGCTCCATGGTCACCACCCTAATACCAATCGCTTCATGTCACACAACTTGAATCCTCAAGCTTACACGACCATGTCTTCAAGAACTGCAATGCCCGCTTCAGTAACCCCAAACGCTAGAGGTGAATTCTTTGATATTTCGGCCTTATCTTTTTAACTTACGGTATTCAAACAGTCCCTTACTCTGCTGTTCGTGCTTCATTCCTTTTTGCACCACGATAGGATTTGCACCAGTTTCAGTTACCCACCAGTTTCGTTACTACAGGTATGATAACATGGATTTCATGAATTTGCCGTTTTTGTACTCGAATCGGCCTATGACTACCATTAGGGGATGTTGGATGATATCGTGATTTGAGAACGCTATTCTGCAAGGTTTTCTTCATCCGAAGACAAAATCCGTATATCTGGTCAATGAAATGAAATTCTGCTTTTATTGACCTACCTTTGACTTCAGTTAACGAGGTTTATATTTTACTTCACTCAAATAGGCTGCGCTACTAAGCACCAAATTAGTTTGCTCTTCCTATTCATGACACAGTTGTTTCTTTCTGTCGTATCGGATTCTTACCTGGGTTCATGCTTAAACATTAGGTGAGTGGTTTGTTGGCTTAGTATTGTCTTATAAAGACAACTTCAACTGAGAATCTTGACCGCTCTGATTTCGTTTAGACACCATGAAGTGTCCCATCCCACCTGAAATCACAGTCACTGTATCAAAAGCTGGCTTCGTTTTATGTCGGTCATCGCACAGTTCAAAAAGGATGGATTCGTCTGTTTCGCACGACCCGGAGTTTAAGCACTCATAGACTACTCCTATAGTCTGTTCCGCTTATCCCTTCTCTCTACGTTCCGTAGACTCCAGTATACTGAATATTCTTGCCGGGTCTTGAAGTACCCGCTGTGTCTGGATTGCGAACACAATGTTGTGAGAGTAACACCAAATTTCCCCGCTGTTGGAGTATTCTTGACGCTTTTGCTAGCATCATAAGGACCGCCACGGTGTTTATAGATCTATTGCTACCAACTTCTCGCTGCTTGTCTCACTGCCTGATATTTTTAGCTCCTTTCTCTTTATGTGCCCCATAACACAGAAATGCGTTCACCTGCACTTATCGAACTGACTGTACGCACCTTATCCCCGCTTTCAGAAATGCTTAGACCTTGTTCTCAGCTCTGTAGCTCCATCTTCACTTACCGACCTGGCCCTCGTAAGGGTCATCTGCTCGCATAATTTTTCCTGCGTGACATGATAGTTTTATACGCATTACATTCCATTACCTTAACCGGTGATCGCTTGGATAGACCCCTGTCTTGAATTCCACGGGTCGCGGGTTCGAATGTGCGTGGAAGTGGACCACATCATATTCCCATCTAGCACGCTACTGATGGTCATCGAATGTCAGCCAAGTGTTAATACGATATACCATTGTACTGCTTATGCGTCGCTGCTAGTTACGGAACGTTGTTTCGACGATAATTAGATTCCATCGGAGTTATCCTGTATTCTGCACATTTGCGATTTAGAGCATACAGTGTCGTCCAAAACACATTGTTTGCTTTTCTAGTACAACCGACGGCGCTGGTCACGACGGCATGCTACACCATGCATGTGACCCATAGGCCAATGACTCGCCAACCTTGTTGATCATGAAGACATCACGGGTCCTGCTGATGCATTGGATAGCATTAAGTGAAACAATCTATGTATCGGAGCGTTTAACCCGTACCTGCGGCAGACTCAAGAGATGCGCCCAACTCCGAAGTGTATTGCACTACCACTGTGTTAAACTTGTGAGTCGACCAGCTAGCAAAGTTTGCATTTCAAATCCAGCGGTCAGCATGTTCACATTGGCCGCAAAGTTGTGCAGAGAGGGAGAAATCGGGGGAACTGAAGCATCTGGCCCATCTCTGAGAGCGTAGAAGGGCATCTCATAGATCCTTTTAAAAAATCCGGAGAGTCGTAGTGTGAAGTCAACGATAAAAACTAACCTGTACGTCAAAAATTTTCTGTGTTGCGCTCAAATTCGGTTGATTGCAATTATGCCATCCTATTCAAGGTCGCATTTGGTAGACTGTATCTGCGACGCTACCGGTGAATCTGCTGAAATCTAATCATGCGGTCGGTGTACCCTCGTCTGAGTTTGGAACGTTCCTGCTCGCCCCCGATTTTAAGGTTTCAAAAGCAGATGATTCCAGGCGTTTTTCACCCTGCTCTTTTTACGATTGTCGGAACTGCTGTAAAGTCATCAGTGTCATAAGCCTTGCGTACACTACATCATTGTTCACACTGATGAGCATTCAGATGAGTTGACTTTGTTATTAATTGTGCTTTTATTATTTTGGTTCCATGGTATTCCACATAGGGAACACAGTGTAGTTCGCTTCACTTGGTCATTTACGATTCGTACGTATGCTAGTGTATCTTTTTTCCAGCGCTGACACAACTGTTACTGTATAGTTATCGAGTATTTATGGCATTAAACGCAGTCTTCTGGCCAGCAGGGTGCTTACACCAGTTGCTTACAAGTAGGAGGGGCTCTGGTTTTATTATTTATAATTTGCAAACAGTCCACTTCGTCTTTCACTTGGTCGTCTGTTCCATGTGAATCGCTTACACTTGTTGGCTCGTATGATCCTCCATATTGATCCTTCGGTGGCATAAAAGAGGCGCATGATGCAGTTGTGCAAAAAACCTGGTCGTCTATCCATTCGTAGCCTGGACCGGTCACCTTAGTTGCCAATGCCTCTAGTGGATTGTTGTCGTAAAGTTAGTAACGCTCTTGCCTTAGCTTCCTTGTTTTTCACTTCTCGTCCTTTTATCCGATTTTTCTGTTGTTTCATCAACTTCTCTCATTAACTTCTCTCATCGCTGTCTAATAAGTTTCCTGTTTTATGGCTGCATGATTGGCTACAACCTGAATCCACAACACTACTTACTGTTAGCTAGTAGTTGCACACAGTCTAATTCAGCAGTTTCAGTTAGAAGTGTATTTTATTCCATTCGCACCTAAAATTTGGACGCCGTGTCTACTGTGTCTTCAGCGCTTTAGAATTTGACACTGCCAGCCTGTTTACTCAATCACCTCATCATGTCTTACTTTTTCCTCGCGATGTGGAAATGCTTAGATAGTACAACTCGATTGCTTTCACTTACCGAACTACTTACTTTATGAGGGCTACACCTAAATCCGCTTCATCTTCACCATTGGCTTCATCAGGTCGGCACACGATGCGGTCAACTTTGTCCTCTTCGTAGTATCCACCTTGATCGCGGCCACCTGTGCATGCATCGCCTCCCGTTCATCAGCTTATCGACCCGTACCCAGATTTGTTGTTAATACTAGCATAACTGAGTTTTAAACCTATTTTTATCAGAGATTAATGCATTGTATCTTTTTTTCGTCCTCCCATCAGCGTCAGTTTCTTCGTCTGTTAAGTGGTAGTGGATTTTGAAAATTTAACCGGTCGTTTTATCTAACATATTGTGAATGTGTTCGTCTCGTATGTTCTAATTACTCTTTTACCATATCTGTGTAGAGTTTTGCAGTCCCGTCCACGCAGGTGGACATCTCTTCAGCACACGCGTTCACCTCCATAGGCCTTTATGCACACTATCCACTCTGCATCGTGGGCGCTACCAGGTGTTTATATTATGTTTTCTTCTTGTCGTGTTTGCCTGTGTGCGTCCGACAGTCTTCATGTTTTGCTTGAACTTGTAGGGCTTTACTGTGCAATCCAAAGTTTTGGTGGTTCACTGGACCCAGTATCTGAGGGCACCACTCTTTCATGATTTAAGCTGTTGACATCAAACTTCTTACCTTCAGGCTTATGTATTTGTTTTTCAGATCCATATCCAACACTTGGAGCTGCGGATTGTGCTCACCACCCAATTCGCTCGAGTAGCGCCTCTTCGCTTGTTGAAGGCAGCGCGAATTTGAGTGGTTTTCCTACATGCCCTTCGCCCAACATGCTCTCGAGACCCCCGGCTCGCTTTACCCCACCTGGCATGCCAAATGGCTTGGGTCCAGTGAGTTCAGTTGGCTCATCCCAGTCCAGTTTTCTTCTGCCGCCCGAAATGGTTACTTGCGCTGGTCCCCTATCCCACTTGCCGATTCCCTGTGCCACCCTTTGCTCTCCTCCACCAACCTCTTACACTCCTGAAGGCTTGGATTCCTCAAACATTATGCACGCAACAATGGCTCAAGCTCCCCCATCAGCTACGATGAAACCGTCCTCCTCTCCTCTGATGTTTAACTGCTTCGGCCCTAGCGTCAACGGCCCTTCTTTGCCTGCAGACTGTAAGTTTAATTTACTGTCGGCTAGTCGTTTGATGCTTTGAAGTATCCTGTACTGTTCCATTTTACTTACGGTGACATCTGAATCCACAACACATTAGGGTTTCGGTCATAATCAGTTAGCTGGGCTGGACCTCTGCGAATCTGCTTCAATTCTGAGCCTCAGAAGCTCAAACGAGCAAACCCTCGATTTAACCTCCTCTTTTTCATCACCACCTTGCGGGTACTGTTTTATCTATACACCTCATTCGCTGCTTTTCATGGTCACCTTTTCACTCCTACAGAATGGCATTGTGTCCGTCTAGCGGATCATTGAACGAGCTGTCGGAGGGGAACGCGTATGAGGGCCAGGTTATGTATTTTATAGGATAGGGGTGAGATTTCATGATGGTACATGGCAATTTTAAACACAGTGGTGAGGATACTGGTGGAGTTCCCTCAGTCTGTCGCGCGAAAATTTAAACCTACATGCTAACTTAAAAGAATGCAGATCTCTAAATTAAACGTGCAACACTGTTTCTTGCCATGGAAGTATTCTTGTGGAATTGCTGCCTCTGCTTTAATCCAATTTGCGTATAACTAGGACAACGCAAGATGATGCGTACACATACATGGTTGGAGGCATCCGGTTTCGGATTTGCCTGTCACTATTTCCAGCCACAGGACGCCTGCGCCTACAGAGGGACCATGGGTTGCTTGCGCTGCACCACCCACAGCTCCAATCACACACCCCATATCCGGTGTAAACCCGAAGGAATAAGGGGGAGGCATGCGGATGGGAGCCGCGTTTCATCAACGGAGCCGACTCACACTCCTTCACAGAAGACACAAGCACGCTGTGTTTGGGGAACCAAGCGCACACAAGGCGGTGGCTGGACCATCGTCCGCTCCACACTGAGTGCATGGAACCACGCTTTGATCCTAACACGGCCACAAGGACCACGCATACCGTCCCCTCCAGCAACGATCAACTGTCTGCTGGAGCCAGTATGACGAGGTAGTAGACAGGTAGGCACCTTGTCAACATGCACATCAAGCGCAGCCACACCGTGGATATCAAGCAACAGCCAATCACTTGAAACGACACGATGAAATAAAATAAATCGAATAATGGCTAAAGATACGGTGATTTAACTCCTCACTAAATAAGCGTGTAAAATAAATGGGTTACGAACGAATCCGCGATAAGTTTAAGACGTCCGAAAATATGTTTTAAGGAAATGCCACAAACGCGAAAATCTTGTCCAGGTTTACTACAATTAGCTTCTGCGACGTGTGAAAGTTTCTGGAAGATACTTCATGTAGAAATTAATATGAGAAAGAAAAGCATTAGGACAACATTGCAAACCCACCACCTGAAATCAAGAGACACAGCATGCAAGCACGGGGTTAGTAAATCGAATGCAGCGTATCTACAAGCGCTGCGCCGGTTCTGCCTACTTTCCTTGCAGGACTCGTCCTCGCTTCGGTGTTGGTCCCGATTGGCTTCGCTCATGGCTCACTAGGCCTGTCTGACTGAGGCACTCGCGAGAGCTTGTGCTACACCACCATGCGCTCGATGTCGATGGAGTACAACCCATAGGCGCTTGCCGCTTCCGCATGTACCGCTTCTTCTCTGCATGTATGAGGTTTTTCTCCTTCACTTCGGCAACTGCCTTCGTGATCAGATTGCGCCATGCACGCCGATCAACCGCTTTCGATTCCCATGACATGTAATCACTATTAGAACGTGTGAGGCTCACTTTGATCATGTCCTGGTAACGTAACTTTGGTTACCCCACATGCCGCTTCCCAACACTCAGCTGACCATATAATAGTTGTTTCGGTATCCGCGTCGCATCCATACGGCTCACGTGACTGAGCCACCACAGGGGTCTCAACAAAAGTATGCACTCCACTGCATACATTCCACTTCGACGCAACACTTCCATGTCCGCAACTCTGTCGCCTCATCCGATGCACAGATTCCGTCGCAAACACTGTTTATGGAACCGTTCGAGATATCGCACCTCCCGCCGGTACATCGTCCAAGTTACACTGCAGTATAGAAGAACAGACTGTACCATAGATTTGTACACTATCAGCTTCGTACCAATGGTAAGCTGATGGTTGTTCCACGCTCGGTACTCTAGCTTCCCGAATGCCGCCGCTGCCTTCGAGACACGGATTCGCAGCTCACTGTGTACCTGCTGGTCAGTCGACATCACACTCCCAAGGCAGCAGAAGCGAGAGGTGGTTTCAAATACCTCAGCACCAATGCTGATTCGCGATAATATTGAAAATTGCACCTCCGGTGAAGGCTGTAAGAGACAGACAGTTTTGCTTGTGTTGATGGTGAGCCCGAATTTGGCCGCTGTCGAAGCCAGAGCACTAGTCATGTGCTGCAACTCATCCGCGCTGTGTGAAAACAACGCACAGTCGTCAGCGAACAGCAACATACGGATAGTTGTCTCACAGACTAGAGTTCTCGTACCGAAACGACGGATGTGCCGCAATCCACCATGAATATGGTGATTCACACGAACACCGTAAGCACAAGCGGCATCAAAAGCACACTGCATCATGACATGAAGGTATATATTAAACAGGGCAGGGGCTAAGACGCAGCCTTGCTTCACACCAGTGACAACTACAAAGTCATCGGAAGTCTCTCCAGTCAGCTGCACCCTCGCCCACATACCACTGTGCAGACATTCAATTAAAGTTACAAACTTATGCGGGCAACCAAACTTACCCAACACCAGCCACAATGCCTCGCGGTTCATACGCCTCGGTCCATACACCACTTTCAAGGAGTCAAAGAATTCCTTGTGTTGGCGGCGTTCGGCGTAGCATTCCATCTGCTTCGCCTTCTCCGTCCACCATGCATTTTTTATGCGACGGAGCTCTCGGGTCAGTCGCCGTCGAAGTTTGCGAAACTCTTCCCCAAGTCACTGGGATCTGCAACATGTGCAGCAAATGCTGCATTCTTTTCCGACACCAATGCGCCGATCGTCGCATTGTTGTCATCAAACCAATCAGGCTGCTTACAGTTTTTGCGCTCGATCGTCTCCTCGACAGCAGCTGTCACCTGGTCGCGAATGTGGTGCCACAGGTCGCCCACTGTGGCTATGCATTCCACATCACACAGGCGTGCAGCCATCGCCTTCTCCAGCTCAGTACGTTTCGCCACAGTACCGAGGGAGAGAATGTTAAATTTACTCCGATTCACGGCGGGAGTGCAATACACAGATTTACGAAAATAAATGTACAGTTTGGTCCGCACCAACTTGTGATCAGTGCCACACTCAGCTCCACGCAGTGCACGTGTCATACGCACTTCACGCATATCACGCTGACGTACGATGACATAGTCGAGCAGGTGAGCGTGACAACTCCGTGGGTGCGTCCAAGTTGCTATATCACTCGCACTCAGTGCAAACCGAGTGTTCGTGATCGTCAGGCCTTGAGTGGCACACAGTGAGAGCAGCCTGTCACCGTTCGCATTCGCTGAACCAATGCCATGCGCACCGATAACATCTGTCCACGCTGATGCATCACGCCCAACGCGCGCGTTGAAATCACCCATCAGAAATAATCGGTCGCTCCTCGGCACAGACCGTATCACGGAGGATAGCTCAGTGTCATCAGGATAACACATGGTCGGACCGTACGTGCTTATAAAAGTAGCAAACTTACCTCCCGAGTTGTAGGCGAACAATCATCAGTCGCGCGCTGATTCCCGTTGGTTCACCCACCAGCTGGCGGATATTGCAAATCCGACCCTATGTTCACGTGGTGCTGAGGCGGCGTTGCTCACCCAGTAGAATGTGTAGCCAGCACCTGTTTCATGAAACTTATCTTGCTCAGCGAGCCGGGTTTCACTGAGCGCTGCAATATCGATGTGTTAGCGCGCCAGTTCCATCACGACCAGTGCAGTTCGTCGCTCCGGGCGCTCGCTGGAGTTCCAGTCCAGTAGTTTGCGCACGTTTCAGCACTCGCTGCTGAGTGCTTTGCGCGCGAGCATACGATTGCATTGGTGGGCAATTGCACCCGTGGTGGTCGTCGTGCTTCGGAGGTTTGCTTGGGGTACTCCACCCGGAGCCTTTGGCTCAATAGCCTTACCAACAAGGCAGTGGAGAGCAGATCCAGCTCGTGAATGTGATTGCAGTAACAGCTTGGGATCTGCTTGAAGGCCGTCACACCATCGTTCGAGGTATTGGAACGATTCATATATGTTTTGCGACCATAGTAGGATACACCTGCGACCACGGCCAGACGCAGGTGGGTTTTGGCGGGTTTGCACCAATTTGACGAGGAGCTGCCTGTCTATGTATGTATGTATGTATGTATGTATATATATATATATGTATATATATGTATATATGTATATATATATATATATGTGCCCCATGCTGAGGCTGATGTTGCATTCTTGATGCTTCTTCACCGCAGTTGGGCTAAACCCACTTACACTTAAACTAGGTCTTTTTAAGCTGGCTAAATTTCATTCCGCTTTATTTGGTTTGTTCTGCCTCCCTGAATAATCTTCTATTAACTGGCCACGTTGCTTACACTAATTGCGCTTATCTTCGGTAATTTTGTTGCGTTTGTAGCATTTTAAGTAACTTGTGGACATTTCTTATTTATCACGGATTTGTTGCTGACCAACTTACTTCATATGGTAATTTAGCGAAGAGTTATGCCACCGTATCTGTATGCATTATTGGATTTATTTTATTTCAGCTTGTTGTTTAAATTGAATGGCTGTAGTTTGATATCCCTGGTATGGTTGCGCTTGATGTGTATGTTGACAAGGTGCCTACCTGTCTATTACCCACTACATCGTTCATACTGGCTCCAGGAGACAGTTGGTCGTTGCTGGAGGGGACGGGGTGCACGGTTCTTGTGGCCGTGCTAGGCTCAAAGAGCGGTTCCATGCACTCAGTGTGGAGCGGACTACGGTCCAGCCACCGTCTTGTGTGTGGTTGATTCCCCAAATACAGCGTGCTTGTGTTTGCCTG